TCAACTCATTTCCACAACATCTTTGTAACACTTTTCAGCTTTCACTGAAACAGAAAGCATACAAGCAAAGAGACATTAGAAAAGCAGGTTCATATACTCAGGTAGGCCTACCAAATCTCATCGGTTTCCTTCATTTTGGATGTATTTTCATACTTAAAGCATCTTCTTGTCAAAGGCATTTTAAATGAAATAGATATTTTAAAAACCTGACCTGTTATTTTTAAAAGAAATTTCACTAACAGCAAATGCCAAACTAATTTTGTGTAAACCAAAATATAATCTGGAAAATACGTGACACAATTCTGCACTATCTGACACTGTGGAGCCTTTTGCTGGAGTACTGTTTAATTTTGGCATGACGCTTCAAGAAGGATGCAGGCCACCTGGAAAGAATACCAGGGAGAGGAACAAGAATGATTAAGAGTCTAGAAAATGTGACCTACAGGAAAGATGAAAAGAACAGCCTGTTTATTTTTAAGGAGAGACCTGAAGCAAGGCACAGTAACAGTTTAACGTAACTTTCCTGCTACTAAGAGGCAGTAAAGAAGCTGTTACTTTGGGCTCCTGAAGCAAGAAGAGGAAATAGGCTGAAGTTGCAGCAGGAAAGGTTTTAGTTAATGCAAGATGTTTTGATTAAGGAAGGTAGTTAAAATGTTAGAAAGAGTTAAGCACCAAGAGGCTGTGGAATTGCCATCACTGCAGGCTATGCAAATATCTGCCAGAGTAACTCAGGAGTAATTATTTATGTCATATGTCATATGTTTGGGATCTGATGGTTTTTAAGCTGTCCATGGAGGTCCTGGGGTGTGGGACAATCCTTCAACTTGTACTTTGACAGTTCATTTCATGGAAAAAAAAAACAACCAACCAACCAACCAGTTTAAATAAAAGAAAAAATGTTTAAAATGGGATAAAAACCAAGATAGCACTGGAAGTGGCCTTCTTTCAAAGAACACCAATTCCAAGCTTCTCCTCAAACATCATCTCAAAATAAGTTTGGTGTTCTGTTTGTTTTGCTGCTCTAAAACTTTTCTGGACTTCTGGTTTAAAATTGTCATGTGCTTTTCAGCCTGAATGTAACTCTGTACAGGATGGGATGGGGTAAGATAGGATGGGATGATGATATTGTGGGGCTAACTTTTTCCTTTTTGTAGGTTAAACAGCTCTTCTTCTATTCTCTGGTTTCCCACAATGTAAATTCAGCCGGTGTTGTCGTATTCCCTGCTTTAACATCAGCAATTATAGTTCTTTTCTCCTAAGAAAAACTTATCCTTAATTCTTTCACTATCTCTTTCCAGCACTCCTTTTTTCTTACACTTCCCACCAAGTAATTTTTTGAATGAGATTACAGTTTCTTGCAAAAAAATTCTGAATGAAAGGCTTCCTGCATGACTTTCCATTTAAATACACCATTCTTGGTATCATTCTCAAAGCTATAAACAATATAATTGTAATATATTCTATATGACCAATAGTAATGTATGAATCTTAGACTACAAATACTATAAATATTTTCACTGGTTTCATTCATTTAGAAATAGAAGAATAATTAAAACTTTAGCTGCTTAATATTTAGATTAATGCAAAGGAGATTTGTGGCCCACATACATTACTGTTATTATCATCCTTGGTGGCTCATCCATTAAGCTACTGGACTGTTTTTTCTGTCTGCCATTGCAATTAGTCTTACATCGCTGAGGGTTTCACACCATGGTTTGGAAACTACTAACATCGGTGTTCACTTCCAATGCTAGTCGAAACCACAGGACAACTTGCAAACAGCATTTCTTAATATAGATATGTGTGGAAAGAGTTAAGGAAAGACCCTCCCTCCAGTTTATGTAAAATTTGGCTGGGATATATTTAAATGTGGAAAAACTTGGAAGAAAATTCAGAACATACTGTCAGATGAATGTCTCAAAGTGCCCATGTACAGCTGTGGAATATCTTCTTGTTGGTGAGAGGTTCTGCCTGGATTTGCAGATGAAACTTTCCTTTCCAGCTCACTTGGGAGGCAGATGTGTAGGGCTGAATGTTACTTTATTGTCATTTCAAGTTGCATAGGCTTATGCCTAGGCTCAATCTGGAGCATCTGTCTAATGTTAATGCAATACAACAGCAAATATTATGTTGTTTCCTCAGGTATCAAAATTCACTATACCAAATTACTCTTCACTATAAAACATGTGCTGAACACTGCAGAGCTTTTGTTAGTGTCCAACAAAGATGAAGTTAATTCATTTGAGGAAATGTTTAGGGGAGATGATGATAGACATCTGAATTCTGACTTCAAGACTGGACAACCTCTTGTGATGCCTTACAGCCTCAGTTATTCTGTGATTCATAAGCCATTGTATGTCTTTGGACTTACTAACAGACAGCTTTGTTCCTCCAGGGAGGTATGCATTTGTTCAAACATTAGACCTTGTATAAACCAAGAGATACTCTCAGGCACTGCCATGATTAGAACTGTTTGCCATTTTATGTCCTTTACTTACCAAGCTGCTTTTTCTAACTGAGGCCTTTCACCATTAACAGTTAACTTCAGTAAGATAACACTTTTTATTCATTATTGCATGAGTGTCTTTCTCAAGAATTTCAGTATGTTTGTCTATTACAAATCTCCGAGTTGGTATGCTTCTTACGAGTTAGTCACTATAAAGAATTTTTGTGATCTTGTGGGATTGGCACCTGCCTACCAGAGAATGGAACAATTCCCTGTGGCATCGACATCTCCCTCTGATGTTAAGATCACTACACTATCAACATATGTTGCAATGTCATCCAGGGGGATTTGCATGGAATGTCAGAGAGGAAAGGTGTCCTGTGCAGAGGACATTCACATCAGACTTCTTTCAGAAGGAGAAATTTTAGCATCAGTTTAAGAGGATTCTGATTTGACTGATTCACCTGAATCAGTAATTTGTCTTTTTGGTTTACCAGTCAATGATATTGCTGTTGAATTTTCACTTTCCTTTGGTTTCCATTCCTTCCCTCATGCCTCTTTATTGTTTCTAGGTTCCCAGAAGATACCACGAATATGTCACAACTCCAAACCAGCAAAGGCTGAGTGCCAGTCTCCTTCAGCCTATGGAAAATGAATGCTCCAGAGCAACACACTCAGCAGTGTCTCCTCTGTTCACCACCACCCCAGAAGTTTATACTGCCATCTTCACAACTCATCCCAGATAACCTCAGATACATGTCTTGGATGTTAATGTTTAGAAAGCAACAAACTTTGACCAATATGCTTTCAGAGAATGGAGCTGAAGTAGCTTGGACCCTTATCTATTGGGCATTAAAGTAGAAAACAAATATGAATAAAGCACAAATCCTCAAATCTAGAAAGAATAATCAGAGCAGGGCTCCTACCTCTGTGCAATGAGACATCTCTCTGCAGTGCTTTCTTGTTTTGCTGTCAGAGAAGCTGTAAAGTGTCATGCGACAAGCAGCATGGTGGGGCTATCAGTGTAGTGGAGACTTGTATACAAACTGGCAGGCAGTATTCCTGGTCCCAGTATTCTGCTCCGTGGTAGCTCACTTGCACAGCAGGGAAGAGGACAATAGCCCACAGTGCCCTGAATGTCCCAGGGTGGGCGGAGGAAGCCAGCAGACTGTCATCAGCTTCCTGGGATACCTGAGCAGAAAGTCTCAGTGACAGGCCTTGACATCAGAGTGCACATGAGCTTTGTCAGGACCAAGAAGACATGTATACGTTGTACATCTACCGCTGCACACTGAAGGTTCAGACTCAAATGGGTAAGGCATGGGTGTGCACAACAGGAATGCACGTGCAGGTGAACTTTATTGGAAGAGTGGGTTTGCTTTCATCAGTGTGTGCTGAAGAGGGACAGGTCAAGACATTGGTGTTTTGATGGAAGGTGCCTTGCTACTTTGGTGCAGGGGAAGGGCTCACTTTCAGCTCTATTTCCCAAGAGCTCTCCCCTTCACCATCTGCCTGAGTGGTAGATGGGAGGAATACGTGAGCGCTTCTGTGTACGCACTGTAGCCAGGCATTCATCTTTTTACATTAAGACCTAAGTGATGAAACATATCTTCCTCACTGGTACAAGTCATCTATGTAAAATATTCTTGAGTAGGCACAGAGTCCTCCACCCTTTCCTTTCATCTACTTTAATATGATTGTGTTCATGCTCATGAGCACATCTTTTTCTAAAGCTCCTGACTCAGAAGTTACCAATGTTATCGGAACTGGAGAGCAGAGTCTTCCAATGGCTGCTCAGGAGTGTGGAGCAGCAGACCATTTTCCATCCTCTCATCTTTCCCCATTTCTACTCTCCCACTCATCCGCAAGGAGCAGCTGCAGTATTCACTTTCAGCCAGAAGGGAAGACAAGAAGACAGCTGTCATGCTATGAATCAGATTTTAAACTGTGGTTTGGAGGGGAAGATTTTAGCTTTATTTCCCACTTGCAGAACAAAGAGCATCTGTCTTTGACACTTGCAGTTTTATGCCGATTACAGATCCAATTACAGATTCTGTGTAGGGAAACTGAATTCAAATAGCCAATACAAAATACTCCCCTTACATTTTTTCATTGATTAGGTCACTGTGAAATTAAATCCAAGTTATACATGAAAGAACAGGATGTTTAAATGAGCGCGAGATGTATTATGTGTGATTCTCTTTGGTCCTGCAAATGGTGTGACTTGAAACACTATAAGCAGATAGGCTGGTTATAAGTTTTATTGTTTTATGGAATTTGAAGACAGCGAGTGCTGAAGAATGAACAGACTTTGGCTTGAAAAGTATTCATGTGTGCTGCCGTAGTGAGGGCTAAAACGGTTTCTTGGACACACTGGGAATCAAGAGAGCCAAAAGTGAGTCACATGGACGACTGCAGACATCTCATTTAATTGTGTAATAATACTACAGCAAGCACAATTGGAGCAGGCTTGCTGACCTCACAGCTGAAAGCACTATTTAAGATCTGGCTACCAGATGTTCCAATAGGATCTAGCCAGCTGCTAGCAGAGGTTACCCTGAGTGTTTTAACAGGAAATATTTACAGCCTAAGAGTTCAGAAGAGATGATTGCACTAATTTTCTTTTCTGCCCTGCTGTGGAACAAGGCTCAAGCATGGGGGTTCAAGGACGGAGTGCTGCATAACTCTATTTGGTTAGGTAAGAAATAATTTAATCATGAGTGTTTTGCTGCAAAAGTCACTGTGTTTGCCTAACAGATGAGCACCTAGCAATACAAAATTGAGCCTCATGTTAATATTAGTAAAATCCTGCACTGAAACTGGTGATTGTTTTATCTGATTAGTGACTGTAAGTTTTGTCCTTTTGAGCTTACTATTTGTATTATTTCTCTGAAGTGCAGGAAAAAGTAGGTATGGAATATTTCATCTGAATGCATTTTCCTACAGCATGAGGTAAAGTGAAAACAGTGTTAAATAACAGTTGTTTCTAATGAAGGAAAATGAGTATGAATAGAAACATTTGGCAAAGGAATGAATTACTTTCTGCATGAACATACTTCAAATGCCTGGGGTCCTACATATGAAACTAAGTGATCTGGAAATAATAGTGATAATATTTCCTAGGTTTCTAGAAAAGTACAGTAATGTATATGTTTTGGCCGTTGGTCTGTTCACATCATTAAGCAGTGGAAAGAAGATTTCAAAAGGGCTACAGAAAATGCTGAGTGAATAGTTTCTTATGTCTGAGGTGGGTTTAAATAGCTCTTAGAGTTTTTTATAGATCTTTATAATTATGGAATACAACAGAAAAACACATTCAGAATATAGTCACGTAAAGAATGCCAAAACACAAGCACACACCAAGTGCTCTGTTTTATAGAAAATACTTAAAAACTCCTTTATCCTCTCTAGAATGTTGTGTGTTTCTTTAAGGCTTTTGAGGAATTTCTGTAGCTGGTACCCATTTCTATTGTGCTCAGATGTTTCTTGGGGGATTGGGGCCATGCTTTATTAGCTGGTGCAGCAACCACATGACTCCAGTCCCTTCTCAGAGGACCATGTAAACTAAATGTGAAGGAGAAGTAACCTGTATTTTTTTCCATTTGACTGCACAGTTTTAATGACTTCTCTTTCCTTCGGAACCTGGAACATGGCTGCTGTGTCATGTAGTTGCTGAAGGTGCTCAGGCTTGGGGAGAGCTCCAAGGGAGGACAGCTTCATGCACCACCTCAAGTGGCTGCCATTCAAAAAAAGGGTGACAGAGATAAGGTTTGTGTGAGAAACAAGCAAAGCTTGTATTCTTGGCTGGACTTAACAGGAAGGAGACACAGCAGATAGGTAGGACTGAGGCTGTGTTAAGCCCTGATGGTAGGAGCAGAGGTGGTGAATTTGATGCAAGCTGTGATGGGTATTCTCATGTCAAAGGGCTGTGGTCAGAGTGAAGAGCAAAGGAGCTTGCTGAGTCAATCTCCTTGTTTACCTGTAGCCTGCAAAAGCTGTCTCTGCACAAGACAATGGCAAGTGGCTGTGCATGAGTCCTATCAGTGTTTTAACCATTCTCCTGTTCTCTGGCACAGTTTTTAATCTCAGCTAGACAGTGGTCTTCTAAAGAGTGCTCCAGCACAGTGCCAGCCACCCTGTATGCAGCACTTAGGGACAGCTGCACCATACACAAGAACTTGTGATAACAGTTATCATTTAAGCAGTTTCATGAATGGAAGTCAATTTGAAGGAAAAAAAATCTCATTCTTTAAAATGAAGAAACAGAGTGTTTACTGGAATACATAATAAAATCGTGGTTTTCTAGGCCTTTAGCATTTACCATGAGAGTAAATAAAAATAAACCATGGAGTAAAATTAGTGACGATCTCTAAATAAACACATGCAAAATCTGGAACCACGGTATTTGACTTTGAAACAACCACTCTTGTCTCCAGGACTCTGTTGAAACTCCTTTAGAAATGCACCATCTAGTGTAACTACAGCAATAAAATCATTGAAACAAATCTCAAAATGCAGTTAATTGAATTACCAGTGGCATTCAGTGACATTGTATGTAAGTGAAGAAAAATAAGGCAAAATCCCAGACATCCAATATGTGCATCTTTGTACTTTAAAAAAGCCAGTGTAACTTGAACTGTAAAACAAGTAACTCCAGTCTTGTGCTCACGATGCACAGGCATTAAAGCAAGATGCCCACCTTCCCTTGAATAAAACCTAGGAATGTGCAGTGACATCTGAGCTTTGCCTATCTCCTCTTCTTCTTGATAAAGGACTATCAAAACCAAACTGAAAATGAAGGGGGTTTTCCATTTTTCGTTTCTTCCTCAACAAGTCATCAGCACAAATAAAAAATCTTGAATTACTGGTAGTCTAGAAATGCTCATGTCTTTTTCCTTCTCTCATTACAAAACATCTTTTGTTGTCTCAGTAAGCACGCAGGCCTGCTGCAGCTGACTGGATCATCTTCTTGTTAATGTTGTTCTTGTGTGAATAGAACCTTACTGTTGCTCGTTTTTTGAGACAAGCACATTATAACCAAGGGTTTATTGTGAACTGATGAGAGGACTGGCGCAGTCTTGCCCAAATATGCTCACACACTTATCTAACTGCCAGCAGTCAGAGCCACAAAGTAGGTTTCCCAGGAGAGCCACTGCACTCTGTATGTTCTGAATTTCCTCCCTCTTGGCACACCATGTGTCAGAGTGGTTTAGGGGCCATACCTACCCCATTTGGCAGAGTACTCTAAGTATGACCATGCACGTCAGCAGGGGCCCATGCCAGTAACTCTACACAGCCCTCCTCTGCTTAAAAGTAAAATACTTATTTTTATTTAGCATCTAGTGTTTGTGTCATGCATATTGAGGGTACTTTATTAGGCCAAATTTTATGCTTGTTGTGTTTGTGCATTGGCTACATTTTATTCTCTCCTACTGCTGTGGGTAAGTAGAGGGTCAGTGGCCTTGCAGGATCCCGCTGTCTCTGGGCTTCAAGGAGAGAGCTTAAGAAATCTGAGTTGGAAGAAACATGTCCTGTCAGCCATGGAGCCTGTGACCTTTCAAGTAAGAACCAAAGAAGAAAGGTGGGTGGAGAAACCCCTGACAGAACAGAGGTTTCAGGCAAAGGAAAAAAGAACTTTGCTGAAGTTCTTACTGTTGTCCAGGAAGAGGAGATTTCAGGCAGGTCAGGTAAAGAGAGCAGCCTTCAAGCAGAATCCTCCGTCAAAGCAAATGCCCAGCTGAGGTTGGGGCACGTCCTGCTCTGTGGTGCTGGTCCCATGGTATATAAACAGGACACATTTACAGTGGTAGGTGTGTTCTTGGGCTTTCACGTAAAAAAAAAAATTCATTTAGGTTTTAATCCACAGCCATTGTATTGTCTCCATAAAGACTATAAGTCATTCGTGTGTGTGTGTGCCTGTGTCTGTGTGCGTGTGTCTCTGTGTGTGTGTATTCAAATTTGACTGTGAATATGTGTACAGTTGTATATACATAGACATAAATATCTACATGTATATGAACAGCTAAAAAGTACAACACTTTGACCTAGGTCTGTTTTTGCTGATGCAGTTTATCTTTCTGCACATCCCCTAATGTAATTGAGAGGGAGAGTAAAAAATGCCAGTGAAAGATCTGATCAGTTAATTAGGATATACTGTCAGGGAATTCTGTATTATTGAACTGTGACACACTGAGCCAGCACCACATCTCCAAGCTTAGTACAGTATGTGTGTGTGGGCCATCTTCCCAAAGGCTGCTTTTGTCATGTTACAAAGGAATAACAGGGACACGGATTGTGGATTGCTGGCAGCAGGACAACACCGCCTACTAAGGTGTTGTGTGAAGACTCCGTGGTGCTGCTGCTGTTAGAGCAGCCCTTGCAGAAACTGGGAAGAGCAGATCTTTCCAGCAATATTCCAGAAAATATGATACTTGCCTGGAGTGACATATTAGTGCCAGTAAGTGGGGGTAAGTACCTTTTGAGGGATAAGATTTGAAAACGACATTGCCAGGTGAAAAGTCAGTAGGAAAACTGAAAATATTAAGTTTTTAATGTCAGCTCCGAGAGCAATGAGTCCAAGGAGGGGCAATTCCCTCCAAATCCCTGGAGGAACCTACAGCAGCAGTTCCAGGGAAGGAACAGGATGGGTCTTGCAAAGGTGCGAGTGATGGGGGCTTTTATCAGCAAACATCACTGGCAATAAGCTGGAAGACAGCTCTTGGTTTGGCTGTGACTGGTCACCCTTGCAAAGGTGACAAACCTTAGAATTCAGCTGCCCCTTCCTCTTTGACTTGGTATAGTGGGGCAGCTCAGTTAATCTCAAGGACTACTGTGAGCTGCAGTGATCAATAATGTCAATGTCAGGCTGTCTCCTGAGTGTGCAGTGAGGCTAAATGCTGTGCTATTTCTTGCAGTACTGAGATTTCCAATTCATGCATACTGAATCTGATACAATCATAGTGTAAAGAAACAGTGAACGGATTTATCAGGTTAGACATGATAAACTACTGAGTGAATAAAAAATCATACTTTGTATAAATTTTTAAGGTATTTTCTTTTTTTTCTTTTTTTTTTTTTTTTTTTTTTTTATCTATAGCATGGCTTTAAGCTTAAAGAAGGTAGATTTAGATCAGATGTTAGGAAAAAATTCTTCCCTGTGAGGGTGATGAGGCCCTGGCACAGGCTGCCCATAGAAGCTGTGGGCCTGCCCCATCCCTGGTAGCGTTCAAGGCCAGGTTGGACGGGGCTTTGAGCAACCTGGTCTAATGGAAGCTGTCTCTGCCTGTGGCAGGGCATTGGAACTAGATGAACATTAAGGTCCCTTCCAGCCCAAAACATTCTGTGATTCTATGAATCTATGACTTTTCTTTGCAATGGAACTGGTGTCTTTGGAAAGATTTTTCCATGGATTTAATAAATGTTATCCCATGCCCATGTCAGTGACATTCCCAGTGATGTTACAGAAAGTGTCTCTCTTCTTCTCACAGTGTTCGGAGACTATGGTCAGCGATATCATTTACTTCCCTGGGCACCAGGCCAGTGACTGCGGGTCCAAAAAAACACTGGCAAACATCATTCTGTATCTAATAAAGGATCTCACCATTGCTAACCACAATTCAGTGGTGATCATGTTTTTGTAAAAAATACCCTAACCTAGCCAAAACTACTGACTCTACGCAAGTCCCTAGAAAAGACATTCTTTTTTTCCCCCCATGGTACAAATAACTACTGCAACAAATGCTTCCTGTTTTGCATGTTTTTTCAGTCATGTTGGCTAGTGGTAGCTACAGACAGTAATTTCTCAGATTATACTAAATATAAGAACTGAACAAAACCCACATTCAGATGAGATATGCAGATTGGGTCCAAGACAGATTTCTGTACATATGGCATCAGACAAATGCAACACAAAAAGATTATAAAACTTGTAGTTTTACTGACGGTTTCTAGGTTTCCCTGGAAAGCTGCTTTAAATTGTGCTTGCAATAGCAAAGAAAAAAAATAATGAAGAACGTATATTAATTTTCTGTGCAGCAAAAATGTCAGCCAGCAGTTGTTCTGGTACTGCCCTTTGTGACACAAGCTCAGATATTTTTACTTCACACTTTTATTCCCTTTAATTTCTGCCTCTCCTCTATCCAAGTAGCTCTGATTTAACTTCTCTGGAGATTCAAAACAAAGCTCTGATTCATCTTACAAAGACATTAAAAGTTACATCCAAGAGTATGCTGTGACAGCAATCCAGAAGGAGCTTCCCCTGAGCCAGATATGATACACAGACCTAGTGATGCTGACACCAGCCAATCGTTCCCATAACTACTGCCTTCTGCATATTCCTTGGGGAGTCCTTCACTGTTTGTTGATTTTTTGTTGTTCAAAAACTCGCCAACCTCTGACTAGCTCTGTTGTTCAAAACTTCTCCCAAACAAAACCATACCTTTGGGTTACAAAAACATGCCTTTGGGCTGGGAGGGACATATTTTCCCAACACTTTCTAAGTGGCACAGATACTAGCTGAACATTTTGTTTCTCTTCCACCTGGACAGTCACCCAAATCACATGTCTTGGGGAAACCGCCAGAGGTGGTGAGAACACACTGGAAGGTGGGTCAGCTGAGATACAATACTGAAATCATAGAATCATAGAATCATGGAATGGTGTGGGTTGGAAGGGACCTTAAAGCTCATCCAGTTCCATCCCCCCCTGGCAAGGACAGGGACACCTTCCACAAGACCAGGTTGCTCAAAGCCCCGTCCAACCTGGCTTGAACACTGCCAGGGATGGGGCAGCCACAGCTTCTCTGGCCACCTGTGCCAGCGCCTCAGCACCCTCACAGGGAAGAACTTCCTGATATCTAATCTAAATCTCCCCTCTGTCAGTTTAAAGCCATTCCTCCTTGTCCTATCACAACCTTCTCTTTTAAAAAGTCCCTCTCCAACTTTCTTGTTGGCCCCTTTAGGTACTGGAAGACTGCTCTAAGGTCTTGTTAATCTAAATATCATGTCTCGCTTTGGTTACACAGAACGAGCTGCTGGAGTGTATCACAGGGAGTCGCGCTCTGGGAAGTACCAGCTTACCTATGCAGAAGCAAAAGCAGTCTGTGAATACGAGGGAGGACATCTAGCCACATATCAGCAGCTGGAGGCAGCAAGAAAAATAGGTTTGAAAAAAAAACATGGCTGTTTGCTTTCCACATTGTTCATTCATAATGTTGCCAGTCTTGTGATTTCATGAATATTACGAACTTTGGGCCTGAGCGAGTTGTGAACTCCCTGTATTTTGGCCCTAGTTGTGTGCAGTTCCCCCCCCCACCAGGTAACAGAACATGACCACACTACCCACAGCGCTGTCAGGGATCACATCTGCATGCAGTGCTACGCATGCCCCTAAGCTCAGGGTGCAGCATGGTCCCAGACCCAGCAGCACCCAGCAGAGAGCAATCCAGCTGAGATGGGAAGCCATGGCACCTCCCCAGCTGCAGCGCCTGGGTGCTGCTGGGGCTACAGAAGAAGGCGTCTATCCCCAGGGAGCTTCTGTAGCAAGCGTGCTTTGCTACTTTCCACATCATCAGTCAAGATGTTTTCACAATGTTTCTTCCAGCCATATTTGCTCTGAGAGAGGGTGAGTAGTGTCCTTGTAGTGAAAAGGGAAGCAGAGTGACTGCTTAACTGTATTTCTATTCGATTTCTAGTAAGAAACTATCGATTCATTCAGAGCACTGGGAAAACAATGGAAAATATCATCCATTCTAAAAATGTGCAGGGTATGCTGTTGAGTCAGAAGCTGGCTCTCAGCACTAGCACACATGTAGAAAGGGTGGTTTTGTCTCTTCTGAGTAGCTCATAGTCCTAGGACGCCACAAATATGTTCCAGTTCATCCTGGTGAAAAGATTGAATTGGTCTCTACCAGACAGTGAATAACATTGCATTCTTTGGCTATTGTTTTTAAGTTCCCAGCCACAAAATGCATTAACAGGATCTTTTTGTTTAGTGAGAAATACATGAGGCATTTCAGGTTAACTTGGAAGGATTTTAAGTAATTTTTTTGTTTTCTTAGGTGTCTCTTGTAAATAGTATTTTATTCATTCTCAGAACTTACTGCTCCAAACTTTTGCAATATGATTGGGTAAATTTGTATGACTTGAAAAAAGAAATAATGAACACACTTATATTACTCATCCAACATGTAATTCGATTACAAATGATGGCACAGAACTTAAAACTCAGTACCCAGGAAACTGTATAGTCCATCTGCATTTGATTTTTGTTTTCAAATGAAGATCCAATAATCATATTGTGGAGAACACAATGAAATTTTGTATTCTGTATTTAAAATTACCCTCTCAAAGTAATGTTCTTTCCTGTAGTTCAATTTCTATTAGGCCAATTACACCCAAGTCATTTATCAGCTTGAGTAAGACTTAACTTAGTTGAATAAAAAGCATCATTTCTTGCCTAGGATTGGTGTATCACACCCATGTCTCATTTTCTCTCCATTACAGGTTTCCACGTATGCGCTGCTGGCTGGATGGCAAAGGGTAGAGTTGGTTATCCTATAGTAAAAGCTGGAGCCAACTGTGGCTTTGGAAAAACTGGTATTGTTGATTACGGGATTCGCCTCAACAGAAGTGAGAGATGGGATGCCTACTGCTACAACCCAAATGGTGCGTTTAAAAACAACCCATTGCTCGTCAGGTCTGGGCTTATAGCTACACGCCATGCTACCTGGCTGCACAAAGGCACCCAGGCTCTGAATTAATTAGTTTCAATGCTAATGTTGAGACAAATTTATTTGGAGCCTTGCACCAGGCCCTCTCTGGCATTACCTATAGTTGACCTGGCTTCTGCAGAGCTCACTGTCTCTGCACCACATTGTTCCATATATGACAGGATCTAACCAATGACCTTTCAGAAACTAAAAATGTAATGATATGCTGCTGTTAGCAGAAAACGTAAGTAATGTTTCCAATGGAATGTGCAAATGTCTTGTTTTGTTTTTTTCATTTAAATAACTAATAGAAGGTGTTTGACATGGGAACCATTTTCCAGATACTTTGCCTGTAAACAGGCTAAACTTACTGTTAACCCTTATTCCTCCTTTCTTGAGCCTGAGATAGAAAAGCTTTTGTAAATGAATGCTGTGTCTGGGACTGAAACACCTGACAGATCCAGTTCCCAGCAGCGCAGTGTGTGTGTCTGTGTGTGTGTACGCATGTGTAACAAGATGGAGAAAAGCTGATCTCCAAAGCAGATCTGGAGACATAGTTTGAACATGATTGAAAAGACTTCACTAGGTATGGGACATGTCTCCATTCGCCTCCCTTCACTACACTGCAGATGACCAAAATATTGACATAGCCACTGTTTCAGTTTAGCTTGATATCTCTTTCTACAGCAGGGAGGACAGAAAAAGTAGGCACCAAGCAGAAAAGCGAAGCTTAACTTTGTTCACTGCTTGGCTCTCCAACTACTCCAAGTGTACTACCCTGCCTGGCAGAGCCAAAACTTGGAGTTGTCCATGACGTCTGTACAGCTGTGCACATTCTGTTTGTGCTCACAGGGCCTGAGCTTGTTTATGTGAGCTGGGCAGTTGTAAATCAAATAGCTTTGTGGGGTGGGGGACACTCCCAGATGTTCAGCATACGACGAGAACTGCAAGAGAAACTACTGCATTCATTATTAATACATGTAAACTGTCAGCGTGGCTTTCTCCTTTGTCAGCCTTCTCCTCTGGGCTGAGAGGTAGTTGCTTTCTAAGTGTACTGTTTGGTTAGAGGACAAAAGGAAATGAGAACTGCCAACAGTCACAGACGAGGGAGTCTCTCCCATTACAAGGATATGTATTCACACAGTCTGACTTACTACAAAGCCTCTCAGAGTTGTCTGTTTGCAGGTGAGAGACAAGTAGCCTGAGGGTACAAAGACAAATCTCTGATTGAACAGAGCCTACGCTCTTCTCTGGGATGCTAAAAATGTCAAGAGGAACTTATGGAACTGTTTGAAATGTACACCTCACCTAGCAATGATCTGTAGCTGATAAGTACAGAAATAGTGGAGAAACGAAAAAGATTAATCACGCTCTCCAGCTCAAAGCTTCTAAGCTGTGTGCCCTGAATCACCCTTAAAAAGTACTTCTCTCTCCTCCAGGTCTGAACTTGGGGAACTATGGCAAATCCTAAAGTCAGGCAGGGTGAGGTCCCCAGATTGGTTGGTCCCATTGTCAGGGAGCTGGTAAAGGTCAAATGGCCACTGAACTGAGTGGTTCTCCTCCCAAAGGAGATATTCTGAAGGGAGTGAAGAGTGCAGAAATGACAGAAACATGGTGCAAAGTATGTGATCACTAGCCTTTATAATTTTATTTTTTTTTTTTTTTTTTTTTTTTGGTAGAAGACACACTTTCAAGAGGTTTTTCAAGAAGGAAGGGTGGAACTGAATGTCAGGGTGACTTGCAAGTGCAGCTGTAAAGCTTACAGTTTGACATAACTAGAAACCCCTAATGCCTTTTACATAAAACACTTGGCTCTGGCCCAAAGTCTACTGAAATCAATGAAAGCTTTTCATGTGAATTCAGTGAGTTTTGGATCATCCCTCTTGTTCCCAAAATATCTGCTCCCAGAATCTAGGAATGACTGACATTTCTTGTGTCTGCTGAGTGCTTAAATATATGAAAAGTGCTATCACACTGGGTGTTCCTCCATGATTTCTACAGCTCTGCTGGGTCAGAGTGCCCTAAGATTTAAACTATAGCCATACCCACAATGAATACTTAAACTTTGACGTTTTTATTTTTCTCTTTTTTTTTTCTTTTTATATTTTTCTCTTAGGAAAAGAGTGTGGTGGAGTCTTCACAGATTCCAAGCATGTTTTTAAGTCACCAGGCTACCCAAATGAGTACGAAAATGATCAAATTTGCTACTGGCATATTAGAGTGAAGTATGGACAACGTATTCATCTACAGTTTCTTGAGTTTGATGTTGAAGATGACATTGCTTGTATGGCCGATTTCTTGGAAATCTATGATAGCTATGATGATATCAATGGCTTTGTGGGCAGGTAAAGCAATTCCAGCTTTCATACACAAATAATCAAGTAATTTACTTTTTTCCCAGAACATTACTTCAGAAGAACACTGTATTACCTCATACGATTAGCACCTCTGCTATGCCTGTAATACTTGTAGCAAAAGTATCTGACCTATCTTTACTTCATTAACTTTACTGTCATTAACACAAGCTTGTAAAGAGTTTCAGAGAATTTCACTTTGCCTTCTTCTGCTTTGTTAAAATACATGAAAAAAAGATGCAAGACTTCTTAGTCACTTACTTTCATTCTGTCATTATTTTAGAGGAAAAACTCCTAACAACACCAATTAGTATTTTGTATTTGCTTTAACTGAAAGGAGGGAGGTGGGGTGTTAAACTATTAGCAAACATGTATTTGAAGTAAAATATTTTCTGACGATACCAGATCAGAACAAGTGCTATGTACCTTCTCTCTTGATACATTTAGTTTCCCTCTTTGCATAATTCTCACTTGCTGTTCTTCCATGTCATATTTTTGCTTGTCCTTTAGCAGTCAGATTTTGGTATGAAGTCCAGAACAAAAAGTGATAAAACCCACTTCCCAACTCCTGCCACTTTTCGCATCCTCTCCACAAATCCTGTGTAGCAAAGCAAGGATATAGTCCATTTGTTTTGCCTCTACAGATAATTTTAATGTTTTTCTTGACAATGTTTCTCCTTTCCCAGCCTCAAGTCATTGTTCTTTTCCTTAATGCCTTGTTAATGCTCTTTGTCTTCTTTTGCATCATTTACTTGCTGCATAAATTGAAGTGTTTCCTGAATTTCTCCCTTTCCTAAACCTGACATGACAAAAATTCTTTAGGCAATTGCTTTAACCTATAGTGGAGAATTATGTATACTGAATACCTATAGCAAATTTAGCCCCATGGGCCACAGCTCCAAAGGACAGTGCAGCCTGAGAGCTACCGTTCTGTGTGGGTCCCCACATACAGGGAATATGGCATATTTGCTGTGTTGATTAGTTGTGACCATTTGTATTTTTTTCCAGATTTTGTGGAGATGAGTTGCCAGATGATATCATTAGCACAGGTAATATATATTTACACTCTTCATAGTAAAAAAAAAAAAAAAAAAAAAAAAAATCAGCCAAAATCACCTTTTGTCACTTCTTTCTAATAACATATGGTTAAGATGTCCAAAGACTAAATCTCTCCTTCACGGCTGGCAAGTCATAAACTGCTGTTCAAAACTGCCATCATGCTCATTTGTCAGTGCAATTACTTCTAAATAAATGCAAAAGAAAAACAGCCTAGTCAGAAGATAATCAGGGTGCATCCTGCTGGATTTACAGAGCTAGAACACCAGTGAATGTTAGGGAGTTGTCATGCAGGCGTCTTTATGCAGCAAGTCTGTAATTGGTGACTGAGATCTACCTATACACACAGTCTTCATGCACCAATGGTTTCCTATTTCAAGGGCAAGGATTGCAAGAACACTTCCTAAGCCAGTTATAGACATTAATCTGCCTGTATGTTTAAACAGCAGGTCAAGGTCTGACCACACAGATATCAAAGCCACTTTTACCTTTCTTTGCTCAAGCATCACAAAATTGCTGTAGCACAGACGTCGCGCGGACTACCTGTGCAAGCCATCTACGGATAGTCTGTGCAGAAACTCAAGTTATTGCACTCCAGCCCGCAGCTGTAATCAGCAGAAAGGGAACAGAAAAGTTGAATTGTGCCACCCTGATCTCCCAGTTTACGCAGGCCTGGTAGAGATGAGCAGGTAAGACTCAGGGGAGAGTGATGTAGCAACCTCACCTCTGTGTCACCTGGAGTTCCATGAGGCGCCAGATGTTTCTCACGTACACAGCGTGACATTGCACAGGTAGAGTGAAGCAGAGCAGCATTCTAAAGAACAGGAAATGCTTTGAAGAAAGCACTGGGAACAGCAAAACTTTATCAATCTCTGGGCTCTGCAGACATACAAAACTGATGAAAATCTGCCTGGTTTTTCATAGGGCTAATGGAACTGCAATAATCCCAGGTCACAGCTTGGAAGTAGACAAACCATGTGGATTGTTCTAAGGATCTCAGAAGGAAGCAAGAAAGCACTTTAAAAATACCTCTGAAGTACCACATTTTCATGCCACCCAAAAAAGTAACCTTTAACTTTTTCTTCTCACAGGCAATGTGATGACCTTGAAATTCTTGACAGATGCTTCAGTGACTGCTGGTGGTTTTCAAATTAGATACTTTACTATGGACATGCCTTCAAAGTCAAATGATGGAAAAAACACAACATCTCAAGGAAAAACAAACTTCTTATCTGGGAAATTTGGTATTATGTGAGCAGAGTTAATGAGATACACTCATTAAGAGACATGTTTAGAACTCAATTCAGATATCTGTTTCTTCAGATAAGACATTTTCTTCATATATTTCTGACTTTTTATTTTCTGCTTTATGTAAGTTTTGTTAAGCATACTAGGAAATAAATTATAAATATACAAATAATAGAACACTATTTTTAGATTACAAGTACTGTAAAGATCTGAAGAATTCATTGTTACCAAAGATTTAAGAATTATTTTTCTAGATAAACTATTTCTTCTCCTCAATTCTTGCACCATTTGAAGAAATTTTGTGTGTTACCATTTCTATTATTTTTAAATTTAACATGCTGTTCTCTCCGTGATTTCCACATATTTATTTTTTTAGATTGTTGCTTTGTTTCTTCGTGTTCTCTACATGTTATTATATTTTAAAGTAACTCATTTCCATGAATTCAAAAGGCCTTTACAGTAAGTTTATTTTTAAGGTACATAAATTCATCTTGTGAATGACCTAGCAGCCACCCACGTGATTGCCTGAAGTCAGAAGATTGGGAAGCGGCATGAACAGCACAGAATCAATTATATCATTGTCATAATTTTGTTGTGAGATGAATGAGAAACTACTTGATTAATTTTGTCAGGGTTTCCTTATTCAGAGGAGAGATGTTTAAATCCTTTCACGTCTCTGATGTCACTTAGTGAAAAATCAAATGAAAGACTTCGTAATGTTCTATTGAACTGGTGAAATGAAGCATCAGAAGAAATACTAAGTGAGTACCAGCAAATCCGTTCAGAAGATCCTGTCAAGATGCTGTATGGTGTTGACATGGGTTTTAAGAAGTCTGTACTGTTTTGAATTGATGAACATAAACCATTCTCCATATGTTTTTAACTTCAGTTTAAATTCTTCAGTCTGAAGCAGCATTAAAGCTACCTCTGTTTTAATCATATCCTGAGTTTCCAATGAATTATTTTTATGTCTTGAGAACTTTTCACACTTTGAAATCATTTTTCTTGATTTAGAACAGTAAATAAGTCTTCAGAGTTTCTTTCCTTCCCTCTGAACATTTTCTTGACCCCAGATCGGCTGAAATCTGTTGCCCACTAAGAATCTTCCTGTGACTTATTTTTTCTTTTGGAGCATTGTGAATTCCTCAGAAAGAGGAGGATCTTAAGCTAAGCAGACCCCTTAATTCCCTAATTATTTATTCTAGTTCTCAGTTCTTGAATTTTAATTAATCTTTGAGTTTTTATTGTTGCAATTTCACTGGGAATATAATCTTGCTGCTCAGCTATATTGAAGAGTAATATTGCAGGTAGTGCTGCAGCTTCTGTCCCTGTCATCCCAACACTTTACTCATGCTATCACTTTATTTAATGGGATTAAGCTGCTCCTAAATTCTGTTGGTGGTTTTTGGTCCTGCCACCTGGTGGGCTGAATAAACTTATTCACATCCTTTTGTTAGAAAATATCATTCCAGTTCTTCAAGATCAGCAAAAGTGTTTGTTAAGAAGGAAAACACATGAAAAGAACTGTTAACATTTTATTTGTGACCTAGGTAGGGTTTTGTTGGGTTTAGGTTTTTCTTTGTCGTTTCTTTAATTGAGAAGCAACAGGTCTTGAACTGATACGGACCAGAACCAAAGGCGTACAGGAAATACCTGCGTGTCTGGAAACCTCTGTGGAGCCAAGGGGGTGATGTGTTTGGGGAAGAGTTTCCTTCCAGAACAGGC